ACGATCTTTAGCGGCAGCGCGTCGAGCTCGAAGAGCGCGTAGATGTCGAGCCAGGAGCAGTGGTTCGACACGAAGACGGCGCCCGCGCCCTCCAGCGCCGCGAGCTTCTCGGCGCCCTCGACCGTCGTCTCGTAGAAGCACCGCGTCGTCAGCCGGCCCCACGCCTTCTGCACCCAGTCGGGCGCGCGCCGCCGGTCCCCGTCGAAGAGTAACGTAAAGGGCGCCGCGGCGAACATGACCAGCGACAGAGGGAGGGAGAGGAACCCGGTCGCGGCAAAGAAAGCGCAGCCGCGCGCCTCGTCCTCGCGCCCGCCGGCGAGGTGGTACGCGGCCAGCGTCGACGAGGTGATGGGCACGAGGCCCAGGAGCGCGTAGGGCGCCGCGGCGGCGCGGAAGGCGTAGGTGCGCGCTCTGCTGCGCGTCGACGCGCGGCGCACTGCGGTTTTGTGGAGCGCGGGACGTGCCACGACGCGAATTGCTCGACGCATCATCATCATTTGCCACAGGCCCCCAAACTCTTGAGACTTCAGCGAAACGTACTTGCCGCTGTTAATAAAACCAGGCAGCCCACGAAGAATCTATGTTGCGCGCGTGATGATGCCGCCCTCGCAGCCCACGGCGAAGAATCTATGATGAGGCGCGCGTCGTCGCGGCTCATCCTGCTGCGGCACGGCCAGAGCGAGTGGAACGGCGCGTCGGGCTTCGGCCCGGCGCGGTTCACGGGCTGGGTCGACGTGGCGCTCACGCCGAGCGGCGAGGCCGAGGCCGCGGCCGCCGGGGCGCTGCTCCGCTCGCAGGCGCCGCCCATGGCCGTCGACGCGGCCTTCACGTCGGAGCTCCGGCGCGCCGCGAAGACCGCGGAGCTGTGCTTACCGGGCGCGGCCGTCGCGCGCGACGCGCGCCTGAACGAGCGGCACTACGGCGCGCTGCAGGGCGTCCGCAAGGACGACCCCGGGCTCCTCGCGACGCCGCTCGCGCACTCGACGCAGACAAAGAAACCGCTCACGGCTTCGGAACTCGAGAAGATCCGCCGGTCCATGCGCGAAGCGCCTCCTGCGATGAGCGCGTCGCACCCGCATTACGACGCGAAAGCCCCTCCGACGGAGTCGCTCGCGGACTGCCAGCGGCGCGTGCTCGCGTGCTTCGACGAGCGCGTCGCGCCGGCCGTGCGCGGCGGGCGGACCGTCCTCGTCGCGGCGCACGCGAACACGCTCCGCGCGCTCATCGCGGCCTTGGACGGCGTGCCCGACGCGCTCGTGCCCAAGATCTTCGTACCCAACGCCGTGCCCTGCGTCCCGTCCCGGCGTCCGACGTCCTTCGAGGACCAGTTAAAAAAGCCCACGTCGTAGGTCTACGCGCTCGACGGCGACTCGCTCGCGCCCCTCGCGCCGCGGCTCGAATCGTCGAGCGGCGGGTCGCACGCGCGCTGGCTCCTCTCGGCGGAGAACTACGAGCGGCTCGCGGAAAAAATCGGCGTGAGTACGCTCGCGCGGAACATCTTCGAGGCCTGAGACGCGAACGGCGACGGGGTGTTGGATCTGGACGAACTGCGCGCGGGCCTCGCGCAAATCACGGACGGCGACGATGTGGCCGTGGCGGCGTCCGCGGGCGCGATCCTCGCGGAGCTCGACGAGGACGGCGACGGGACCATCTCCCTCGCGGAGTTCGAGGAGCGCGCCGAGCAGGCCTGCCGCCAGTTCGTCCCGTCGCCCGTGGGCCTCGGCGACGCCGCGACGCGCGGCTACGCGGGACCCGGGGCGAGTTAGGAGTCTTAGACGAGGTGGCCGTTGACGGCGGCGTACTGGCGCTTCGCGCGGAGGCGCCGCGGTCCGAGCGCCCAGGCCGACGCCCGCAGGCAGGAGAAGGCGGCGGCGACGCTCACGAGCCCGTAGGCGACGAGCGCGGCGCCGGACGACGCGCCGGACGCCGCGCGGTCGCGCCGCCGGCGCGGCGCCTTCCGCGGCGTCCGCGGCGGCGCCGCCGCGTGGCCGTAGGTGCGCCGCAGGAAGCGGGCGACCTCGGCCTCGTCCCATGTATCGCCGACGCGGCAGTGGCCGCACTCGCTCGCCGGCGGCCAGGCCCAGGCCGCGGCCGCGTCCGCCGCGGCCGCCGCGTCCGACGCGCCGCCGCCCTTGACGCGCGAGTTCACGGCGTTGTGCGCGCGCCAGAGCCACAGCGACGCGTCGCCGTCGGCGTCGCAGGCGCCGTGGTCGCAGGCGTCGTACATGGCGAGGAAGTGGGACCGGCACTCCGCGCACCCGAAAAAGTGCGCGACGAACGCGCGCACCGCGGCCCGCGCGGCCCGCGGCTCCAGCGCCTCGCTCGCGACGACGGCGTGGAAGAAGCTCCAGAGGCCGCAGGTGTAGGTGCCGCCGGACTCGGCGCCCCGGCCGTCCGGGTCGCAGCGCGCGCTCCAGGCCTTGGGCTGCGCGCGCCGCGTCGTCCCCCGGCACGTCACGGCGTCCGGCTTTGCCAGCCAGGCGTCCCACTCGTCGCTCGTCACGCCCTCGGACGATGCCCCTAAACAGTCCAGCAGCGCCGGCGCGACGGCGACGCCGGGGAGGGCCGTCGACGCGGCCGCGAGCACGCCCCGGAGCGCCACCAACCGCTCGCGCGACAAAACGGGCCCCTCCGTGAACACGGCCGACTCCAGCGCGTAGCGCAGCGACGCCGCGGCGTCGCTCAGCGCCGGCGCGCCGCGGAGGCCGGGCGTCTTGAGCGGCGGGTCCTCGGCGCGGCGGAGCCCGCCGCCCTTCTCGGCGGCCGCGCCCTCTTTCAACAGCGCGGCGTCGTCCCGCGTCAGGTAGCCGGGGTACTTCCTCCGCACGGTCGCCAGGAGCTGGAGCGGCGCGCGCTTGTCGAGGACGACGTCGTTCCCGAGCGCGCCGAACGCCTTGACCGTCGGGTAGCTCCTCACGCCGAACTCGGAGCACGCCTTCTTCTCGGCCGTGCAGCTCACGGCGCCCGCGCGCAGAGCGTCGCCGCTCGCCGCGAGCGCGGCGCCGAACTGGCGGAAGGACGGCGCGTAGTGCTGGCAGTGGCCGCACCAGGGCGCGTAGAAGGCGACGACCCAGCCCGCGGCGTCCGTCTCGTTGGCGGCCACGGCGCGCACGCCGGACCGGGTCGAGCTGGCGCACGCCCGA